TGGAGAAGAGCCTCATGCTGGGAAAGATTGAGGGCAAAAGAAGAAGGGGCGGCAGAGAATGAGGTGGCTGGATGGAGTCACCGAAGCAGTCAGTGTGAGCTCAAATGGACTCCATAGGATGGTAGAGGACAGGAAGGTCTGGAGAAACATTGTCCATGGGGTCGCAATGGGTTGGACACGACTTCGCAACTAACAACAACAAATGTCTATTAGTTGTGACTTGTTTTAACAGCAGACCGCTTGGAACCAAAACCTATCAGTCAAAGGATGGATGTCTCCCCCAGTCCAAGGGCTCAAGTGCCCATATTTCTTTCCCTTCTGGCTGATTCAATGCCAGGCTGGAGAAGGACCCTCAGAGAAATCAGATTATGCCTCAAGGTTCCAGCTTCCAACTCATCCTTGAACAATAACAGTGTAGAAAGAATGGAAAAGCACCCACAGCCTCAATATCCAAACATCTTGTCCTCATAGAATAATGAGTACGTTTTTGTAGGCAATATCTCCTGCCTTACCTTTGTCAATCCTGCAGGTCAATCCATTAGTAAAACTGACAATTGCACAACAAATAGCCAGATCTTCTGCCGGAACCACCTAAAGCAGGGGTCTCCAACCTTGGCAACTTTAAGCCTGGTGGACTTCAACTCCCAGAATTCCCCAGCCAGCAAAGCCATACTTTCCCAAAACCTTACCACCCAGGTTAACTATAGGGACAAGAATAATGGTCACTAACGGTCTGTGACTCAAACTGTAAGGTGGACTGGAGACCATCATCTGGCTGAGGGCAGACACAATGATGAGAATGAGGATAGGCATCAGCTGGACAAATAGCCCAAGGCCACCCTGGAAAGAAAAAATTGAAAATAATCAATCATTTGCATTCTCCAAATCACTTATCTTTAACAACTTTGGTTCAAATCTTGCCTCTTTGGGCACAACCTAAAGTACTGTACACTTACCCACAGCTTTGGATCTTCCCTGAACTCTGTTGCAGAGAGAAATTAAATCCTCTGGAAAAAAACTGGAAGGAAGTGTAAGGGACTTCAGGTTAGTCCCGTTTTATGTATTTATTTATTTGTATCCTGTTTTTATTATTTTTACAAACAAGGCTGCAAGCATATCCAACACACCTTGCTCCTATTTTCCTCACAACAACTCCTCTGTGAGGTGAATTTGACTGAGAGGGAGGGAGGGAGGGAGAGGTCAGCCCCCTAGCTTTCATGACTAAAATGGGCCTAGAACTCACAATCTTTTGTTTTCTAGCCTGGTGTCTTAAACACTAGACCCAAGTGGCTCTCTACTTCCTCCTTGCCTTGTTTCTATATGTGCCATTCTTTGTTCTAGAACAGTGTTGGCGAACCTTTTCAGCACAAAGTGCCAAAATGGGAGCGCGCGAGAATGAGTGAATTACGGAAACTGGAAGAGCAGCTCCCGGTGTGCACGCATGTGAGCGCCAGAAACCGGAGGAGCAGTTCCCCAGTGTCCATGCGTGTGCCGGGAAGCTGAACTTCCAGTTTCCGCCATGCACATTAGCCACCTGGTCTTCAGGTTTCTGGCTCACATGCATGTGCAAAGACCAACTGGCTGGCGCACATGTGCGCTGGAAACTAGAACTTCAGCTTTCTGGCATGTGCATGCGTACCAGGGAGTTACTCTTCTGATTTCCGGTGCTCCTGTGCGCACAAAGATCAGCTGGCCAGCATGCATATGCGCACCGAAGAGCAATAGGCCATGGCTGGTGTGCCCGGAGAGATGGCTCTGTGTGCCACTTCTGGCACACGTGCCATAGGTTTGCCATCACAGTTTTAGAAGATTAACTTCTGGAAATTAACAAAATATTGGGCAGTCCTTGAAGAGTATTCGGAGACTTCAACTCGTCCAGAACGCAGCCGCGCGAGCGATTGTGGGTTCACCTCGGTACACCCACGTTACCCCTATCCTCCGCAAGCTGCACTGGTTACCAATCTATCTCCGGATACGCTTCAAGGTGCTAGTCGTAACTTATAAAACCCTTCATGGTATTGGATCTGGGTACTT